GTGCAGAGTCCCAATTTAGCCAGGCCTTTGTAGGGAGATGCAGACAGGGAGCAAACCTTTTGCCAGCTAAAGCTCTTTTGGCACTTAAGGTGCAGTTAATTAGTGCTTATTGACTGTGAGTAGGAGGTAGTATGAGATAATTAAAGGAGCCAGGGAGGGTGCAGGGATGGGCTCTCTGACTGCTCCAGTCTCTGCAGTGGTGGGCAGGAGGTGCTCTGTGAGCGTGCACGGCCCTCCCGTGCTCCCTTACTTCCCCAGGGCGTGCTGTGGCTTCAGCTCAAGCCTGTCTGCCCGGCGGGTCACTGCGATGTCCCAGGGGAAGACCAGGGGTTGGTGTTGGGGAGGTGATGGATTTGCCGTGGCCTGGGATGCCCCGTACCAGGGCTCAAAGGATCTGGGCAGACAGCCCGTGAGCACCTCTGGGCCCTGTGACTCTGTCTGCATCCCCAGCACCCTCCTGGAGATGTTTTCCTCCCCCCAGGCCAGCCAGGAGGCCGACAACGTCCTCATCCTGCAGGACCGTAAGCTGATGACGGGGCCAGGGAAGCGCTACCTGCAGGTGTCCAAGAACCGCTTTGATGGGGACGTGGGCATCTTCCCCCTGGAGTTCAGCAAGGCCTCGCTCACCTTCTCGTCCTCTGGCAAAAGCAAGGTCAAGCTGAAGAAGATGAAGGAGGAGAAGGCCTCTTTAGCCAAGAAAACTCCCCAGGGAGGCTCAGGAGCCTCCAAGAAGCCGTGAGCCCAGCAGGTTTCTTCCTCAGTCTATCAAGAGGGATGGGGACTGGTGCTGGGAGCGTGGGGCTGGGGTACGCTAGCCCCTCTCCCCAGGAGCAGCAGCCACACGCCACTGCGGCCTTTTCTCCTCCTGCACAAAGAAGCCTCTTGGCTGCCAGCGTGATGTCTCTGAGACGTGGGACCACTGAGAGGGGTGGGCTCTTGCCAGAGAAGAGCGGCCAGGGAAGGGTGCCTTGGCAAACGCCGGCCGCTCCGTACTGGTGCTGAGTGCTGGGAGCACGGGGTCGGGGTGGGGAGTGGAGTCAGTGTGGGCTGGGTGACGGGACCGTGACCTGCAGCCCTGGGACTTGGGGATCTTTGGACCTGGGGCAGGATGTTAAATTGTAGCTAAAATGGAGCCGAAATCCTGGGCTGTTGCTGGTGGGGCGGACTGTGAGGGGACCGTAGAGGGACACAGGATGGGAATCGCCCCGTCATGGTGGGGGTCTCCTGGCTCCTATGGAGCCAGCGAGGGGAAGGTGGTGGAGGGAATGTGGGAGATTGTGGGTGGCTGTTGTCCCAGAGCTGTGCGCTCTCCGTGGGACGTGGTGGGAGCTGGACCCCCATGGCGTCACTGCTCGCGGCAGGTTGAAGGCAGTGCTGAGGTCACCCTGTGCCGGTGGTGAGACCTGGCGCTTGCTGGCTCTGCCTGCTTGGCTAACGCCTGACCCAGCCCCCTTTGCTCAGGGTCTCCCCCGGCCCCTTTCTCAGGGGGCATCACCAGCAGTAAAATCTCAGGGGGAGCAGCCCTGCCTTGCTCTGCTGGGCTGGGGGGGGCGGTCACCCCCATGCCCTCTGGGCCGCGGGCAGCAAATACTGTGACCTGGCCAGTCCTCGCCGCGGTGGGATGAGTCCACGGCTGGATCTTGGTCTAATCCCTTTGGGGTTTTTCCCTTCCTAGTTTTAATAAAGCATAAATGTGAGTGCTGTTCCCATGCTGCTTTCCCTGAGACCGGGGGACCCTGGGCTTGGGGGGAGACCTTGGTCAGGGCAGGGGTGGCCCCCAGAGGAGCGGGGGCGTGTGGTGCCAGAGGAGGTCCCTGCTGCGCAGAGCGTCCCGCCCCGGCCCTGGCACACGGGTTATTACCAGCCTCCGTGCCGGGCATAGTTTTAACCTGAGCCATAATGAGGGGCTGGGGCAGGTGGACGGTACACACCCAGCCCCAGGTTTCTGGGGTGCATCAGCTCTTCCGGAGAGCACCCTTGGGTGCTGCCGGCAGAGGTGTGAGCCCCCCTGGGGCAGGCTGGGGGCAATGGCAGGGGAGGGTCCCTGGGAAGCCGAGGTAAGGTGGCAGGATGGCGGGGGGAGCTGGGCCCCCAGCACATCTGGATCAGGGTTTCACGGTGGTGTGGGTGGGGGCTGTGGGTGTCCCCCCTTGGCCCAAGGGCCCTCTCCTGCTCCCTGGCCCCTGTTTCCCCCCACTGTAGCCCAGGGCAGGTGCTGTCACAGGGCGTGGGAGTGGGGCAGTGGGAAAACCCAGGACCCCCATCCCTCTCATCCCTCTTTGAGGCTGGGAGGGGGTGATGGAGCTAAGCCTG